TCTGCCATCAATTCCTTCGATTCGAATTGATCCTGCATTTGGGACGATGGAGATTGGTTCGTTTTGTGGTGGCAAGATTGCCGCACGTATGACACCCCTAACGATTAATCGACTCCGATTGGCAGCCAGGGTTGCACGTTCGACTCAAGGGCTATTCGCGGATTGAGAGTCCTCTCTTCAGGACGTAAACGTAAACAGGGAATGTTAACGGGTGCAGGTCGGCCAAGGAGGTTCTCGTAAAATTTACGAGCGGTTTCGTGGATCCTAGCTTAAAGTTGCACTATCCAAGCGCGCAATTTAAGGGTGTCGGCTATTAAATCTTTTTTCTCTTTCGCTACAGGGTCATCAAATGTAAAACGACTTGGCGCTACCTATATAAAGTGGTAACTAGAGATTTCCTTGGTAAGGTGTGGCTATTCATTGAATAATAATAATAATATCATAAAATGGATATAATAATAATACGATAAAGGGGATATTTCTTAAGTAGTCGGAGATTTGAATTTGTCATTAAGGTCATTTCAAAGGACAGAACTTTTGCTCGTTAGGTATTCCGAGCGCGGCTCTTCTTTTTATCTTTCGGATGAAAGCGAGTTAGCGAGTCATTGTTCCATTTGCAGTATACTACCGGTGTGTACAGTTTGGTGCTTTTATGCGAACACGGATAAACAGCTACTGTTCGTTTAATAACTCTATTGTGAATTGAGAATTGTCAATGAGAATATTTGAGGTTGGTAAATATACATAATCTGATTGCGAGTTCTGTGCGAACGGGAGAAATGTTACTGTGGTACAGCTATAGCGGGTTATGGTATAATATTATATAGTACAAGTACATTGTAGTATAGAGCAGAGTAGCGTAGCAATTTAACCGGGAAATATCGTTGCTTTGGTAGAGTTTCCCATTCCGAAGATCTCTTCTTCCAGAATTCTCTTAGGATTCCAGGACTCGTTCCCCGTCTCGGTGAGCGTCGCTATTTCTTCATTCTTCTTCTGTATATTCCCCGTCCTCACCTTCTTTTGAAAACGCGGAGAATTGAGCGAATAGCAGGAGAAAAACAAATTTCTAATAAAAAGACTACCCTAAATAATTACATCTCGCCGCCGCTGCTGGAAGCCGCCCAATGCATCTTCGTTTCCTTGCCAACCACCCCCCTCCGCCCCTCTAAGCCACCTTATCACCTTTTTCTTTCCTGCACGCTGTTTTCAAACCCTGGGCAGAATTTTTACTGATTTTCAACGCGTTGTCTTCCGCAGGATCATTCAGCCTGGAAGCCGCTAGTCTGATTTGACAGCTGTCAAATTTTGTTGTGTATATTATTTTTATTTACCTTTTTCGATATTCACAGTAAAGGGCAGATATATTAGTGATTCCGAAAGCCGACGGAGTTACAGGGGATCGAGATAAGAGATCCTCGATGAAATTGTTGTAGAAGAATGAAGTATCTGCTACCACAATAGAGAACTGTAGGAAAGTAGGCTCTGTCGTAAAAACAGCTGATCCATTATTCATTTCCGTACGTAACGGAGTCTTTTTTTTCTTCTTTTTTACATTTTTCGCAGTAGGTGCGCCAAACGATAGACACGGGAGCGACGGATGAGAAGTGCAAAGGGGATATAGGAAGGTACGGGAAGAAGAGCAAAACAGAGAGAGAGAGAGAGATAGAGAGAGAGAGAGAGGGAGTGATAGTAAAGAGGTACATGAGAGATGAATTTTGGAAAGTGAATTTTAGTACACAGAAGAAGGACCGGTACCAGGAATATTCTATCGGTACGTGATAGCGGCCGTATAATAGATTCCTTTCTTATCCCGTAGGGCTGTAACGGCAGCATCCCTATATCCTATCTGATGGGACACGGATATACACTCACCGTTCGTCTCTGCGTTGTGTTTACGACGGGACCAGCTTTAACAATCCCCCGGTCCCACCCTGTCCCTCCGCGTAGCACCATTCTCAATCTCGGTCCAGACATCCGCCGAGAGTTAGAAGGACACAGAGAGAAAGAAATTCAAAGACCAAGAAGTCAATGAGGAAATTTCCTCATCCTGGGAATCTTTTTCTAATTTGAGTCTCGGAATCGAAACATCCCCTCACCACGCTCCCCGATTCTTCCAACCTCCTATGAAACACTTCTACGGGATGTTCAACCCCACTTTTCTAGCTTCTCCTGATCCTTCCAAGAGATACCTATGATGATCAGGTGGACCGTCACGGTGTCTGACTGAATCAGGGTATCATCACTAAAACGGACATGGCTAAGCAACTAGACAGACAGAGGGATGAAATGACGGGTGACATAACATTTCTGTGTATCCTGGTCCACTCAAGGGATTAGGCCGTCAACCCTATGTGGGTACTGGGCCGGTGGTACATGTGTACCAAGTAGTAATTAGGTCGGGCATATGTTTTGTCTTGTACCTCTATATGAGGTCTGTCTCAATTATCTCTGTCGCCTGGCAGGCTCACCGTCTTAGTGTAAAATTTGCTCGGGCTTCTCATCAGTGACCATCAACCCTTGACACGTAACATCCCTTTCCCATTTTTTTTCGTGTTCGAAATTTTCGTCCCGTGTATTGAAAAGCTTTCGAAAAATCGTTCGGTGTGAAGTCGGTAAGGAGGGCTGGGAGTTGGGGACACTTGGTAACATTAAGCGAGGATCCCATTTCCAATGGCATTTCTGTAGACTCGTTCTCTTTCTCTTCGTTCTCTCTCTCTCTCTCTCTCTCTCTCTCTCTCCTGGAAGGCTCGTTCTGTCGGCTTGTTGGGTGGCTGAGTGGGTGGCTGGCTGACTGCACGGCTGACTCTCTCCCTTATTCGGCTCGTTCCCTCGATTAATCCTGGAAGGCTCGTTCTGTCCATTTCCAATGGCATTTCTGTAGACTCGTTCTCTTTCTCTTCGTTCTCTCTCTCTCTCTCTCTCTCTCTCTCTCCTGGAAGGCTCGTTCTGTCGGCTTGTTGGGTGGCTGAGTGGGTGGCTGGCTGACTGCACGGCTGACTCTCTCCCTTATTCGGCTCGTTCCCTCGATTAACGTAAGTGCCAGGATTATCTCGGCGGAGCAGAGCCCGTTAAGCGTACGTATGCATATCGCGGTACTGTCTCGGGACACGTAAGTGCACCCCCGAGTAGGTAATAACGTGAATTCATTCGCGGGACGGGTTGCGCAGGGGTTGCACCAGGAAGGCGAGTTACATGCGTACCAGTAACCGAACGATGCAATATGCAAGAATAACAGTGCACTCGTCCTGAGAGATACGTGACGTCTTATCGCTTTTTGCAAGCTCTCACTGTCTCTCCGCTTCTCTCCGGGGACGTCTCGACGAGTAAGCTGGCAGGATTCAAAGGGTGCAGGGGGATGATGGATTTCGTGCTTTTGCAACAGGACTAGCTATGTCCATTCCTCTCAAGAATTCCCTAGAAATCGAAAAAAAAAAAAAAAATTCGAAACCTTTCAAGGTCCTCCCGATACCACCCTCGTAACATCCTACGGATAGTTCACTCTTAATCATCTGGATCCAGAAGACAGGGAGTATATACTCTCTTGTGACGATTCCCAAGAAAACTGCCTGTAATCCTTGCCCTAAGCTCTCCTTTCTGAACTTGACTCATCGCGCAAGGAATTCCTGTGACGCTCGGCAGATATATTCGGATTCCGAAAGCTTCAATGTCTTATCGCTAAATATTCAGATAAGGCACCGCCGTGGGAGTTCGAAGAGACGCTCATAGTCTCGCGAGTCAAACGACGCAATTATGTATTTCCAAGGGCTGTTTTGTACCCCATTCAGTTTCAATAGGACGAGACTGACTTTTAGATATATTACTATACGCCAGTCTGGCTCGACGTCGAATGGCAAAAGTCAAATATCGCGAGGCAATGTATCCCGCAGATACGAGCTTAGAGCCCGAACCATAGAGAGCCGTCTAACGTATAAATAAGAGAGTTGGCCGAAACAATATGAGTCCTTAATGGAGTAACTCTCTTGCGCGCCGCTGGAAGGCCGACTCGTAAATATATCAAGAAAGCGCTCTGACGTTTATGCGAGTTCCCTAAGGAATTATAATTAAATCACTACGAAATGACTTCCAGAGCTTGGTCGGCTCCCTTGGGTTCACCGTGAAGACCATGTGTTACGCACGGGACTATACCAACCGTATTACACTCCGGTCACACACGTTGTGCTAACCTTTTGACATTTCCCACAAGTATATACCAGACCGCAATTTTTCCACTGGACCTGACCCTCGTGATTCTTTTTCAAATGTGCACACATCGCCTATTCTACAGGGCGTTAATGGATATCGGGGACGCGGTTCCTTTCATCCTAGAGAAATTCCTGGTAGCAACAAGTTTACCACTGGGAGCAGCACTCGGGCCAATGGTAATTGTTATGCCTATTTGCGGAAGCCACAAAGGATCAACCGGAAGCATAGTTAACGTGAGTGATTTCCATGAGATTGGATATGCAATAGTGAAATTCCGCGAAAATATCTAATCTATTTGCGATGAAGGGTGCATATTTCCGTAATGTCCTGGATATGCAGTCTTGTCGTTAGGGCGATAGGTAAGGACGTTCGAATTCGGAGGTTGCGGGCATCGGGAACGTCTAGAAGCCAAAAGGGAAGGAGGACGGGACCACCCTGCATTGGTTGCTGCTCTAACACGTATAGGGGGTATACGGTACAAGCGCAAAGGGTAGCCTGTGGCCATTTATTATCCCTATTATCCCGCCTCTGACCTCACTCTCTCCCGAGGGATGGTTACAACACCTACCCTCCTCCCCTTTCGCTTTTGCTTTTCATCCCCCCTCCTGATACCCTCCCAGCCAATGACGCGACGCCGCTTTGATATCAAGATCGTATCGATACCCTATGTCTCGTTCGATCGTGTTTTATTGTCCAGTTATCGCTGAAGTATGTCCACCCTTATGTACAAACTGCTACCACTTACGTTAGTTTCGGCAAGCTTAATATTTATCGAAGACTTCACTTCTACACGGAGGTTACTGAGCTCGTAAGATCGCTTTATTATTTTTCTTTTACACTCGACTATTATTGGACTCGTCGGACGAGCTTGTTTTTACGGATAATTATTCTTTTTCTCAGTCGACATCCAGCTTTCTAAATGATCCGGAAAATCCGAAGAGATCGTCACCGCTTATGGCTGGTCCAGGTCGACGGGACTCGTCCACGTGTACGTTCTGTTGCTCGATGAACCAGGGTCGCCATTCCTCCAATTTTTCGCGCCACATATCTGCGTGGAGAGTAACGTAGTATAATGCGGTACCATGCGTATAGGTTAAGTTGAAGTGTGTGTCATGGGAAATGCTCGGCTGATTTAGTTTGCTCACCTGAAAGTTTGTCCATGGATGGCTGCTCGCCACCGTAGTCCTTCGGAAGTACAGATCGAGGTACGAATTCGTACAGGGAGTCAAGTCCCGAGGAATGAACGTGCACCTAAGGATTCCATCTAGTTACGTAAAAAGACTATGTTGGATGTCGAGAGAACGTTTCTACTTACCCTTGAGGAAAGTTTTGGCTTTATGGTCGACTTGATTAGGGTGACTATACGATCGGCGAATGACGGTGCATTGATAAAGTGAATTCCCTTGATTCTTGCTCCGTATGCTTTCTATGAAAACAATTTTTTTTACTTTATAAGGATAACATATTCGGAAATTGATAAAATGGGAGATACCTTGTGTATGGTGAAAACGATATGGGATACGGGCTATCGCATCGAATCATTCAGCCCTTGACAGACTTCTATTTTACCCTCGAATAAGGGTTTCTCAGTCGTGAATAATATTTCGGGTAAATTGTGATCGGTATATTGAATTTCTTTAACGGTCTATTAAGCTCTACTGTTGTTTGAAAATTCGTGGAAGAGAGACGTGGGAACTCGGGGCAATAGTATATTGTGGCTCGGTAGTTCAGGAGACCCCAAGTCTTTGACGTGCTCGTGAATGAAGGGAGGCAAAATAAAGGTGCAATTTCGATAAAACAATTTTACGGGCTCCCCTTAGATGAATTTGCGTTTGAAGTTGAATTTTGTCGAAACATATGAAAATTAGGAAATACTATATCAACTGTATAATTTAATATTGTTAAAACTGTTCAGTCGTGTATAGACTTTTTGAGAATCAAAGTGAAAAAGAATTTATACGGTTTTTTTACAATGACTTTTTTTTGCGTCCACTAATTCTAATATCTATGAAAAAGCTTAAAGTATTTGCAGCGCTAAGGTGGGCTTTTGTCGATGTCAAAGCGGGGTCCTTAATATTCTCGAGCATACAAAGAAGCTGTACAGTCGTGAAATGATTTCACGTTTTTTGTTTATTAAACTCTATGATGTATAAAATATGCCGAATATGGAATTTGTACATAATTTTCAAATTTTCCTTATTTTTTAGTACGAATCGTTGATGACGGTATAGTACAGCTGACGATATACAGCGTTGCCAGTTTTTCCTGCCGAGGAAATCACGAAGATTTTAATACGCTACTGATTTTATCCTCGCGTTTTTTGATAATACTTTCTTTTGTGAAAATTTTCTTCGATTTCAATTTTTCAAACGCAATACCTAATCTTTGAAATCCGCTGAGTTCATTGTATACTTTATATTTGAGATCTCAGGAAGATTAACATGAGAAATCTGTAATTGAAAAGCGGACGGGAGCTTTTTTCATGTAGATCTGTACTAATTTATTTATTTAAAAAAATTTTTATTAAAAGTTCCGTAACCGAGCTTTAAATTTTTTATCACGACACTACGCGATGAAATTATAGCCTAGCGAAAAATGATTAATTTCTGAAAGCTATTGTCTCAAGCTCGGGAATACCTTAAATGCTCGTACCTTAATTGGAGCTTTTCTCTTTACTGCAAACATAAGCTCCGTACTTACCGTAGCAGCCACTTCGCATTTTTTAAGAATAGTCGGCGTGAGCTTAGTCAGATGACCCAGTCGCATAGCCGAAAGGTCATAAATGTAAATGTCCCCTAAACTACGACATTCGGACACGCGGATATCGCCGATCATAAACGTGTACCTGCGAACGTAAAACCATACCCCATAGAGTGTCATTTGAAAAAACCCTAAGAAACACAAAAGACGCCAATAATGAAAATACTATAAACAAAAGACTGTATAACAGAGACAAAATTTTGAAAATTAGAAAAATTAACTCAAAATTGCGTAAAATCATACTTGAAAAAGTTCCAGGGAATAAACTTGGCAGCGTCATCGTCGATAGCTCGTAGAATCGATACTCGATATTTTTCTGTAGTCAATTTCGGTAGGCAGACCCATTGGCTGAAAGACAAAAAAATGTCTCTTTCCCATAGTCTCTCTATTGCTGTCCCACGCTACGTATACATATATAATATACGTAATATAAATATACTGGTAGATGAAAGCTTTCTAAGCACGTTCCCTCCTACAGTAAAGTAAATTTCCTTAGTGCGTTCTCGTGCTACGTACAGAACATCCTGGAGTGTGGTGATTGCAGGACTCAGTGGATCTCGCTCTGCAAAAAGCTCCGGTACAAGACGTCTCACTGTGTAATACATATCCAGTTTTTGCTTTGCTTGCTCCAGACTCAATTTTGCGCCTATCAGGAAGTACTGTAGTCGGGCTTCCGGTACATCTAGGAAATACGTATACACGATATTAGGACAGTCAACCGATAGTCAAGAGAATGGGCATCTGTGACAGATAGAGAAAAGCTAACGAGGAGGGGTCGGTGGTGAAAGGAAGAGGGAAGCAACCGAATAGAGGAAATTCATAGATCCTCAGGGTCAATAGCGTAACTGGCGGAGCTTCAGTTTCGTAGAAGAAGGTTTCGCCATTATTGCCTACTCGAGATCGCAATTTGCACCTCCGGGAATCATCCGAGGGATGGCAAATATTTGAACGGACGTTGTCAAAAGGTTATTCAACAGCCCTTGGGAAACTTTAGTGAACTTTCTTCGGTCTGCTCGGTGTATTATACGTGCGTATCTTTCTGTTCTTGTTTTTCAGTTCTTGTCGGATTTTACAATTTCTTTTTCTTCACTCCTCATCGACGGTCTCTTATTCGAATCGAACGGTTAAGGGTCACTTGCTTCTTTAGTAATTATCTTGCTGCGTGTCGATTCAAGTCGCTGTGCTGTTTCATGTTTTATTGTGTAATGGAGTAACAGATTGGAGACAGCCCTGATTCTGTTAGATGACTGGGTGACTGAGGGACTAATGGAATAGAAGGCTGTCGAGCACCTTGAAAATTCAAAGGGTTGCCAAGTTCAGTATTCCACTTGAGAGCCAACATTCAGAACGATACAGAAAGGGTTTTCACCAAGGGGTTGTAATCACTTGCCTTCGTACAATGACCGTTACCTTTTATCCGCAACCCTCATACTAACCCTTCACCTTTGCCCCAACCAGCGTTATTCAAAATTCAGATCAGGGAAATCAGCCCTCATTGAAAATCCAAAGATCCGCTATATCGGATAAACATTACGTGGACGATTTCTTGGGATACTTTTATGGTCCATCCCTCGTTACGTAATTACTACATTGAATCGAAGAAAATAGAGTATAGAAGGAAAAAAAAAGGATAATAGATAAACGTGAAACCTTGAGGTAGGTGCGGCTGCAACCTCAGCCAATCTTGAAGTCTCTCACGAAGATCCACTAGCAGTTTTTCATTTCCGCCTAAAGCACTGCAAACTTCCTCGATGCTGCACGTTTCCAGTAGCTTCGACATTCTTTCCCGAATCCCTTCGCTTCCTTCTTTATTTTCGTTACTTCTCAGATACTTCCACACTATGGCAATGCTTTACTGGCTATCTTGGAATCAGCCAGAAATCATCGTTACCCGCGTTCTCAAAGTATTGACAGTTTTTTTTTTCTTCTTTCGAATGAATTTATATTATTTTTGAAACGTCCCGGCGCAGACGTCCGACGGAGACTGAACTTGTAAAATGCCCGGCCAGTCAGTTTGAGTAATAGCGGTACTGGTTTTGCGCAACGCACTCCTTGGCCACAGCAAGTAAAAGAATACTTGAGCGTTATGCTCGGTGCGTGAGTGTAATTTTAATCTCGGCTTTGCAAGGCGAACGCGTCAATTTAGGCGAATCGTGTCGTTTCGTGCCGGCGAAGTGCGCGAGCCTATCTGAATATGAATTATCGATAATTTCTTCTCCGACGAGTTTAGTGGCGCTTTTGAATTAAATTATTTTATTATACGTTTCGCACAACGGTCGTTCGGACAATCAAATTTCAGAAGCATAGAGGGACGACTAGTGTGCGGTATATCTATGTTCATCTTAATGGTATGTTTGTTGAATTTTTTTTTTAGTAATTGCATTACGTCAGTTGGTGCCGAGCTTTTTTTTTATAATTTAATATCCCATTACTCCGTTAGCTCGTTGCGACCTTGGATACCAGCGAAATTCAAATGTCGAATAAGAGATTCTTGTTTTTCACGATCCGAAGGACTGATTGAGAGATGTTTTCGGCAGGCACAGACAACCAGGCGCGTTATCCTTTGAAACGGAAACTGGCTTCTTTGGTTTAGCCATGAAAATAATGCATTATTATGCTCGACGTGCCTGCATGTCAGAGAGGAAGGTCAGTTGTGAGAACGTGCTTGACTATAGTCGTATATATATTTACCTACCTGTCAGATTGCTACTTGTTGAAATAATAAAAACACAAGAAGCACGTGTTCGTATTTTGACGTACGTCAAAGCTTAAAGAAAATTTGATGTTGAGTAACTGATATGTCAAAAAAATATATTGCTTCTTTATTTATGGGTATAGAGAACAGGAAAGAATCGATTAGAAGATGTTTCAAGGTCGGGATGAAATTTTAATTTAATTTTTTACAAATTTATATATATCCTTATAAAATGGGTATGCAGATGGTACTGTCAGCTGCACGTCACGACTCGTGGTTTTCATTGCATTTTATGTAAAAACTATGCTAATAGATATCCCATAGAAAAATCCATTTACAGATGAGTACCAGGTAGTCGCCATGTGGTATTCAAGAGGATTCAAGTGTGATGAAAAATTATAAAAATTATGAAAATTGAATAATTTATGCAAAGCGTTCGTGCACTGGTTAATTTTTTAAAATTGTCATAGTGTACAAGCGTAAGGTGAATTTCCCAATTACTGACCATGTCCGAATTACTAATCGGGGTTTCAATTCCTATACCAGTCTGTCCCCACCGCTCGATAAACAGCCAATGAGCAAATGGCTTGCCTTTGTTTCCCCCGATGTACAACACACATTTCGTAAATAGATTGATGAGGTATCTTTGAAATCAACCTAAACTGCCGTTTCTTATATTTGAACGGCGCGGTCAGATCAGATAGGAAATCTAAGCGATGTCATTGTCGCTTGATAATCCTGTGAGAAATTCTCACAGGACATGACGAAGCGTATTATAGGGATACAGGGAGATACATATGCCATGCCTAAGGGAGGACTTGCTCCCGCGAACGAGACGGAGTACGTAGGCGGGGGGATGAAAGTCACAATGGGGTTGAAGGTCAAGACGGGAAACTGCCGCCAAACGGGTAGCTGTACCCGGTCAAAAGCGTTCCAATTTCCTACGGGATGTGCATCCCGTGGGAGGACCGTGAGGTTCGCAGGAGATCCGTACATCGAAAGGGCAATGGGGTACCAGAGTGCGTAGAGGGCGAATGGAATATCAGGGGTACCTGGTATGGGCTGAAACGAGTGAGAGGGATGGATAGGGAAGACGGGGCTAAGAAACGAAGATACATTGTTTAAATAACGAAATAAGGCGACCTTATTAAAGGTTTAACGTGTACGACCTTACGGTGGGCCTGACTACGCCAGAAGAGCCTAAGTGTCATCTACATATTCATGTCTACCAACCCTCTCGTGGGTTTACGTTCGCTGGTACTACTTCACTGGGTAATAGGATCTGGGCGTGGTATCAGCTTTATGCATTGGTCGTTAATGGGAAGTTGGACTATTTGAAATTTGTGAAATTTTCGAAATTTTTCTTTTTCAAGCAGCAATTAAAGGGTAGAAATGAACAGTTTTGGACCTTTTTTTTTTTTAATAATCTTTTTACCGTGGGTTCAAGATTTTTTTATAGGCTTCAATTTGCATAGGTCTGTGGAATAAATTGAGCCAGTCTTTATGCCGGTTATTGCAAGGTGTTCGTAATAGTAGCGTCGCGACGCTTGGTTCGTAGGAAGCCTATTCGCATTGAAGGAGAACACACGGACACGGTATGCGTTGACATTTAAAACGACAACATTTAATTCATCGCCCGTTCCGACCACTCGCTTAATTAATGAAGGCGACGGACTCGAGGAGGCCGTTAGGAAGGTTAAGGGCCCGGAAAATTGGCGAAATGACCCTGTTGGCAGGCATTGCCCACTCGTTGAGACCGCGTGTCCTTAATAGGCTGCGACTGCTGCTACCACTACTTCCTGTTCCTTTCAACGTCCTGATACTCATCCAACGATGTTGGATCTGGACCTTTCGAAAGTTTTGGGAAAACGAGAGGGTTTACGGACGGAACAAGCACCAGCCTATCACCCTTTGGGAACAACCCTCGTCGCGAGGTGTCTTGTTAATTTTATTTCGAATACCCTCGATTCCCCAATTTTATTACGGAAGTATTACCAGATTAGCGAAACACGTTTACGAATCTTTTCGGGTACGTAACAGACAGTCAAGCGATATACAGTGGTTGCTGTGATCTTCGGTATTTCGTTGGTACAGTCGCGGAATGTCTGTATGAAAAAAAAAGAAGATGAAACCACGTAAAAATATTCTGATATAATAAAGGTCAAACGTTTTAAAAGACTTCTGATTTCATCATTGGTCTAAAGTCGTCCTTGAGAAATTCAAGGATTACAAAGCTTTTGTGAAACGCACGAATACAGAATGAGAAATGAAATTGCCATAATAAAATTTCACATCACAGCTCGCTACTCTAAAACCAATTAACGGATCCCTTTTAATTTTTCAAGAGTCACCCGTTGAAAGAGCTACGAATTATTGTCGTCCGTTATGATTCAAAGGGACAAAGCAAAAGCTTCCGTCCATCGAAATCGTCCTCGCCCATCGGCATTCTTTCCAAGCCATTAAATCAGCCTGATCCTTTTCGAAATTATATCGATGCAGACGATAGCTGGTAGGCGGGTACGAGGGTCCTTCTGACGCAATAAATTAAAAAAAAAAAAAGACGACAGGACTCTTAAAAACGTAAACTGAAGTCGTTTTTCTCGTTCTGGAGTACTTCGTGGAAGGACCCTCCAAAGGAAGTACCTTAAATCTTAGTGTCGTAGCAGAAGTACCTTGCGAGGTCGATTTACCCTTGAGTCGATAAGGGCATCGTAAAGGGACAGGCCCAGCTGGAAATTGGGTTGCTTGACGGTCCGATACTCTGGCGTCTTTTAACACCGTGGAATAGATATAGAGAGAAAAGAGCATAGAAACCAGCCAAGAGCTTTCCTCATTGGCAAGTAAATGCCACGGAATAAAAAGTAATAAGGTGGCGCTGCTGACATTTGTCTAACAAGACCAGAATTGATACTGAGCCGAGCCAAGGGAATGTCACTCCTTGAGTCCTAAAGGGACGCGTAACATTTGGACGAGTGAAATTACGCTTTGGCCATACTAGAGAGAGGCCGAAGTCTAGGAGCAACTTACTGTAGTGACCTGACTAGAAGATCAGGTAAAACTCATGCATATTCACTGCGGTTTCGAGGGCTTCAAACTCGAAAGGTTCTCGGAGAGAAATCACGTTAAAACGAATGACTCGTTTCTATAAAATCCTCAAAAGTTCTCACTACGCGAAATAGAGATTGGTTAGGGTCAAGAAGGACAATGACTTTTCGCTGAAGTATCAAAAAATTGAATATTCACCTTAATTCGATCAAAATGACTCTGAAGCACCTGCTGTTACCAGAAGCTCCAGTTGAATATTTACGGAAGTCAAGGATCATGTCAATGGATAAAAAACCCTCAGAGACACGCTTTACGTGCGCCGGAAGTGATTTTAGATACAATATGAAAATCCCAAGAGGAAGCGACATTCAAATCTGTCCTTGATCTTTCGTTCCTCATGCGTTTTACTCCATTGGGAGATTGGTGGTCTACCACTGCCCTCTTGGCTCCATCTCGCCTAATGTCCCCGTTATTATTATCATTAAGGGTAATGATGGGTTGGCGGGCAGGTCTGATTAAACCGGAAGTAATCTGTGGGACAGAGTCATCGTCAAGTTATCGCCGAGAAAATAGGATACCAAAATTTTTCAGCTGCTCTCGTATTCAAAATTATATTACGTGCTCAGACTTTTTTTTCACTTTTTTTTTTAGTTATTTTATTAATCCTTTTTTTCACTTTTCTGGAACGAGTGGAAAGGTCAGCCGACCGGCGACTACGGACAATGGGCAATTTTCTGGTAAAGTTTGAGGGATGAGAAGTTTGAGCCTGGCTCGCGACGATTAGATACGCGGCAGGTAATGGCCGAGGTCCAATCTGCATTCGTAATGACGGACGTGGAAGGTGACGCAGTGTCTGACCTCGGTACGGGGACATTGGCCATCTATTAACCCCTCGGGCCATAGGGTAGGTGCTGTTCACCCCCGCTCTCTCTCTCTCTCTCTCTCTCTCTCACTCTCATGAAACTGTGATCTACGCCTGGTTCAGCCTCGTTTCAGCTACGATCCACCTCGTAACCACTGACCTCCACTATACCCTGAACATGGTGAACTCTAACGCTATCGGATGCTTCACTCTCATGAAACTGTGATCTACGATTGGCCATCTATTAACCCCTCGGGCCATAGGGTAGGTGCTGTTCACCCCCGCTCTCTCTCTCTCTCTCTCTCTCTCTCACTCTCATGAAACTGTGATCTACGCCTGGTTCAGCCTCGTTTCAGCTACGATCCACCTCGTAACCACTGACCTCCACTATACCCTGAACATGGTGAACTCTAACGCTATCGGATGCTGTCTCTCTACCGTTCCGAAAACCGCACTTACAATGTCCGGTCAGTGAGGATCTTCCAACAGGAGATGACAAGGTATCCTGGAGGATCTATACGCATATATATATGCACGTATATTGCAGCGAGTCTTTATTCAGTTTGAGTAACCAGATCTGGAAAGTGTCGGGATTAGATTAACCTGCGAATAGTATAGTCTCTAATCGAGTTTATTTATTGGCATAACCACACTGGGCAAATAATTCAGTGAGTCTGATCGGTCTGACGATAGGACGGACCGACTATATCTAGGTAAATTGGATAGACACTCTCGGAGCTTATCCAAGGGAGTTATGGATCCAATGAAATTTCATAGGCAATTTGAATTAGCTCTATTAGTGTCCAATTGGTTGGATCTATTTTCTATGTACAATAACACTGAGGATGCAGCATTTTAAATACCCATTAAATTTTCGCCTTGTCCAAGAATGAGTTCAGCCGGTCCCGATCCAGATTGAAGATCTTTTTACTCGCCTCTATAAATTTCAATGTAAGTGCCAAACGTTACTCTTGATCGCTACTCGGAAATGCCAATAAGAAAAATTCACGGTTTTATCGTGGAACGTGGGTCCACTGAGTGCAGAATGTCCGATACGTTCAGACAGCACTATTTAATCGGATTCCACGCGTCATTTGTTCCAAGTTAGTGAACCCGACGACAAGGGTACTTTGACTTGTGGGAAAGCGGGGCTGGTCGTCGAATTACAAAGTATAATGCTTATGTTTTATAGATCCTCACACGGAGCACGCGGTGCACCATGGCAAATGCAACTTTAGATTTTGCATAGAAGTTGCGCGCGCACCCACTGACCAACCCTTATTGTTTCGTTTTGTTTACCCCGTTCGTCCTGCTCCTTCCAGTCAACCGGGAATTTGCATTCAGCTGCGATATATCTGTCGTCGTATCCTGCTGACTCGTGCGGCTACCCTCCAATGCATCCCCTTGCATTCCCCTATAACCCCCAAGTGTTTGCTTAGCTCGAATCAGGAAATTACACGGTGCTAAAATTGCGCAAAGAGGAGACTCCCTCCAGGTACGCCGTATGGTATTGGGAAAGTCATTGGATTTTCGCAAAGTGGTTATAGACATTTTGTAAATATATAAAGCAGGGGATATAAAACGTAGCCGTACAGTAGACCCTCGTAAAAATGAGGTAATCGGGCATTCGGAGGGTCAAAGGGCTTACCGTCAAAGGATGACTTTAATTCTACAAAGTGACGTACGTTACATAGAAGGAGATCCCACACGCCTGTGTTAACGGGGCTATACCCTCATCAGCAGTAGAGCGTCGCGACGCCACAATACAACGGCGTAACAGCGTTCGAGTAGCAGGGTACCAGGATACCGCTGTACACTGATGCAGAGGTATCAAATATTTACTTGGTACGGTATATGCCGGTGTCGTAAGTTGTGAGGGGGGGAACCGATGTAAGCGGTATATAGGGGTGCGTGAAAAATTTGCCATCGTTCGATATTTAATTATTTACAGCTAAGCGTATCCCAGGGGAGCGTTTCGCGTCATTACGTTTGAAAGCATTGCAAGCGACTATCGAATTACCCAGGGTGACGTCTTACACGAATTTCTTTTCACGAGGACAAGGGATGCTGCGATCTGAGGTTCTCGTGGGATGAGAGCCAGTCACCCGGGGTGGAATGGATCATCTAAAAAGCAACGTCCTGACACCGCTGACGACGTCTTCGATGCGGTCTTCGCGTCAACCATTCAAAAGCCATTGTAGCCGGAGATTGTATCGGGCGTCCCTTTCGAATCGGAGCGCGGGATGACTTTGAGCTTCCCTAGGGAAGCTGCCGCGGCTACGGGGCACAATGTGCTGATTGGAGAGATCAAAGCGTCGATACGAAGCGACCACCGTTGCACTGGGCAGTAAGTATTTAATTATTGGCTATTCGAAGAATGCAAGGATCGTTCTCTCAAAAATGTTCCCTCCCCGTTCTTCTTTAGAGTACACGTTTTCTTGTACGTGGTCAGATTTTGACATTGTTAGTATATAGGTAGATGTGTATTACATGCAATGGGACAATGATTTTTCGCGTGACGTAACTAAAAAATTTCGAGGTACCTTACAAAATTTTGGTACGTTTATATCGGTCCCACGTCGACGACATTGTCAATCGGTAACTGTCGTTCCCTCGTGAAAATTATAAAGCTTTCACGGGATCAGTCGTCGAGGGGAGAAATTAATTTTGTCTTTTCCCCTTATTCACGCTTTGCCAATCATTCAAAATCGATTCATGGGCTTTTTCAATTTAATAGAATATCTTTGTAGCCACGTGTATATTGACGTCTACTTTTTATTATCGCGCTCGCTACCCTTTCGATGGAATCATTTTGATCAAACAACACGATTAATAATTTTGCACTGAACCAGTATGTATCCATCGATCTTCGCACGGACTCGGTTTGCTTCGCCGAACTCCGGAAAAGCTCGCGGCTACGGGGGTGGGGCCTCGGGGGTTCGGTCCGTAGCGTCGTTATTCGACGAACGGCGCTCGTCGAATGCGTTGACTCTCCGCTGGCTCTCGTGAAGCTTTCGCGTGGCACAGGATTCCCTTGTGCTCCTCTGTGCTTTCTTGTGCTCGGTTAACTTCGTATTTTTAGTTTTTAAACACTCGGAATTATACGCCATACGAGCATACGTGTTTTACGATTATATTTCCTTTGACCTTTTATTCCGACTCGCATGTCAAGACGCGTCAGTTAAAACTTTTCAAACAGTTCGTTTTCATACGTTTTTGGATGTTGAGAGGCATGGATGATGTGTTTATAAAGTTTGGTTTACGAAGGCTCAAAGTAAAATTACTTTTCTAAGCAAATATTTGTTTATTACACAAGTGGTTTGAAGAAAAACGATTGTTTACTCACCGTTTACGAAAAGCCGTTGAATAACTCGAACATCCTTTTGCGATGTAGCGATGCGAGTCACGTGTGAAAACTTGTAATTTTTCTAGTTATTTGGTTTATATTCATTTTGTACATCGTCATTGGATCATATGGGTATCGAGTATCTCGTGTAAGTAAATTAGGTTATGTCTTCGCAGAGTCTGTGACAGGCTAGAGCAGCGAGTCTTCGTTAACCTAAAAGGTACTTTAACGATGCGGAACGTTAATCGTTAATCAACACGGAATAGTGTCGCTGGATTAGAGAATTATCGAGAAAGTGAAAAACGGGTGTGTTGTGATCTGACAATTCAATGGACTTGTCAGGATAAATCAAAACGGATTGATCAATGCCCGAACGTGTTCATACAGGAAAAATTGTGCTCGGATATTCTTACGTGGTTTCTCGACAGTCCCATTGTCTCCGGGTGTCGTCTGAGTTTCATTCTGTGAGTGTCCATCGATTGACACGTTCGCCACGTCTGGTAAAACGATACGATTTGACTTTGTTATCTCGTTGGTATCGTTAACGAGGTTGTAAAACAAAAAAAAAGTGTTAACTCGCGAGTGCATACAGAGTGACTGGAATTCTAATAGAGGGTTATGTATATATGCATTATATATATATATATATATATATCCTTGGTAAAATACTAAGACAGGAAATCATCGCATGATGAGGATCTTCAACATGTAAGTAAATAAATAATAAAAACGATTTTAATTTTCGTTGAGTCCTTTCAGTGCTTAGCTTGGCTCTCCCTTAAAGTATCAATTTCTTTCCTGCCTCTAACCTTATCGGAATCCTCCGGCTGTGCGAGAATTTTGTTATTGAGGCATTCTGAGAGAATCATAAAAATTCAGGACAAAGTTAATGACATTTAATACCAAATGTCAAACATAACATAACCTATGGTGCAGATGGAAGGAAATGGAAGAAAATATAAATGAGCCATAACAAAGTTTTTTCATGGGGTTGATGTGCGATGCAGAAGAGAGAAAGGGTAGGATTTTACTGAAAATAGGTGAAATGAAATTATTACCAGCCGCCGGTTCTGTTTTAGTGAAATTTCACTGAAGCTTCCGATACTCGTTTCGATACCGTATGGCTACCGGCCTTTTCGTTATCCCATTGGATGTTTCGATGTTTATCTCTTATAGAATTTTGGCGAAACGGCCTCATTCCTCCTATTTCCAAAATAAAAGCTTTGCGCAAGCCAAAAATGTTTGTCAGCCCTGAATGGAAGCGAATCAAAATGTAAAAAGCTTGTTAAAGCTTGAATATCCCTTTTTGCAGGTATATAGACGAACTATAAAATTGCCTGAACACAGGCAGTCGGTTGTGTCACGCAGTATATTTAAATTAAAGATACATGGGTGGTTTTCATTTGGGCGATTTGTCATTGCGAAATAATATAATATCATGATAGATCAGGATGGTGATTGAGGTAGGCAGGAAGTTAGCTGGGAAAGCAGACGGGCGTGCCAAGACTATTCCGAAAGAGTTACTGGCGACGCTAATATCAGTAATACAGAGGCCACAACCACCCCGTACCATTTCTGGCCGGATTCGACCCTGTTTCAACCCCGATTCGAGCTACCCTGGAAGCCCGACTAGAACCGGAACCACTGAACCTCATCTCAGGTCGGCTCAGCCCATACTGGAACCCATCCAACAGATATACCTTGCCGTATCCTATGCAACGTTAAAGAGGCCTAGATTTGCCAGATTCTCTAGATTTACGGCTTACAATAAACATACGGAATTCCGACGTTCCGCTATCCAGAATTCAAGCTGGCGCGGGTACTGTTTTCAATCAATCCGGCTTTCCAACAAGATCTCGATGTTTCCTTCGAATTCTCCAGACTACCCTTCGGGCTATTTTCCTACCCCTTTTACCCGGAGGGTTCTCAGTAGCATAATCCCAGTCTAGGTTATAACCTAGTCTGGGCTTATCGATATCGTAGTCTCCCCTTATCATTCCTTTTTTCACCTTTCTTTCTCTTGCTCACTGGGTTCCGTTACGTTTCGTTACTCCATCGTTCCTCCCAGTTTACACGGGTGGCTGCGAACAGTCAGCAGCGCGAATCTTTCTGATACGGACGTGCCCAGATATCGTGACCCCTGTAGACTTGGAAAGAATCTTGAGAAGGAGATTGAAACACGGTTTAATGGAGTGTCAGTTGGCGATCGCTTTTAAAAAGTCCGAGTCAGGTAGTCAGGAGGTCGAGGAGCCCAAGGAGAGTCTAGAGAACTCGACCGTTCGCGTATATCAAGCTATATAGTATATAGAGGAAGGCAATTCCTCAAGATCGGAGTTAATGCGATGACTGAGTGCGACTAGCGTTTCCTCCCAATTTTCCTCTTATTCCCTTTTCCTTATATTCTCTCCTCTTCTCACCCGAGCGCTAAACCACTTTGCTCTCTTCCTCGTCATCCACCCTCTTTTACCTTCGTTAGCTTCGAATTTAAATCCTAGCCGATTTTTTCTCCGGGAAAATCACATTTGGCAGAGACGTCTCGACGCCTTTTTCACGATTCGAGATATTCTGATTAGAGTTAAAATCACGGAAAGGCATTCTCGTCTGGAAGGAATGTAAAGGTCAAAGTTTTATGTTTAAGTTTGATCGATCGTCTGGAATTATTATTGGATCGTAGACTTTATTTTTTTTTTTTCTAATTTTTCAAGAAATTTCATTCTTACCGCTTTCCTGACTCCTTTCTCTTTTTCTCTCTCTGTCTCTCTCTCTCTCTCTCTCTCTCTCTCTCTCTCTCTAAGTTCTCGGATATTCGTTCTGGACTCTTGTTTTTTTTTTTTTTTTTTTCTTGCCATTCATATAACGTGTGCAATTTACGCGTCTCCGCTCCCCCGTTTCACCTCTCAGTAGGGACAAGGGGAAGGGACTGTCACTTGGAATTAATTTCAGTCGCAGACTGTGACGTGTCGCCGCAAACTCATGGGCGCTGCGAAGGGTGCGGTATTAACGTAGTAAAGAATTCCGCTGAATTCCTTCCCCACGAGCCTTGCAGACAACCTGAAATCCCTATTTTCGATCCCGTTTCAAACCCCCATTTCCACCCCATCATACCAACCACCCTCTTCCTCTATAACGGGAATCTTGAATTTTTGGCAAATAAATGCTTCTACTATGCTGTCGGGACTCACTTCATCTCGAAGTTTATTTCGCATTTTCTCTGAAATGCCAAGGAGAAAATATTTTGCACATAATACCGGTGCCATAGAAATGATTTGAAATTAAACTGTTCAGGTTATTCGTTAAAATAGTATTATGTAAATGTAAAATTATTATTATGTAAATACGTAACTATCGGTAGGGTAGCGCGGGCACATCATGATTACCAAAAATCAATCGATGCTTTTCTACAGAAGATATTGAGATATACAAAGAGAGTGAAGTCTCGTTAATTATCTAATTGCCGGATATTGAGGATGACGTAGGTACACACTGACGCGAAAGTACTTGTCAATGTTTCGAGGATTTTAATTTTATCTTCGACTAATTTCTCCAGAACCTCTGGTTGTAAGTGAATTGCGATGCCGAGTTCTTCCTGGCAGAGCATCAGACTTTGGGATACAGGTGGCAGCATCATTACCTGCAGGATCTTAAGGAGTCTTTCTTAAATCGGCTTACACGTGTTACTCGGCTAAAATTCCTTCGTCGAATTTCCTCCCCTCTCCTCGTTGGCCAAGCTATGTACCAAAATTAATTAAATCCGTCGAATCGAGGGTGGCTGCCGTAGGGTAGCGCGGCGCCCAGTGGGATAAAAAGATAGATGGCTGCTACATGATGCTGCGGAGGGGGAAGGAGGAGGACGTAAGAGGATCCGGCAACCGGAAAGAGAAAGAAAGAGATGACAGAGAGAGAGAGACGACGAGGGGGGAGACGACTGAAAATGCCATTAGTAATTTACTTGTCATTATCTGCTTGTGACACAAACTTTGCCTAATTTTTTTTCGCTTTTTCATCGTTCAGCCGCATCCCCCCACCCTTTCAGAATCCTATTGTCTCCTTAATTACGCAAGTGTCGTCGCACGTGTCCTTGGCTCGGTCTTCCTTCTTTATTCTTTTTTTTCAACATCGCAATCAAATCCACCCCTGCGAAGCGACGCGCGGCGCCGCGGCGACCCTCCGCGATTAACGAGAATTCCAATCACGTAGTCGAGCCGGCGCCGCGTGGACTGGCAAAAACATCGGTAGGAAGTTAATTTGATTGGCCACGCGACGTGTATCTGCTTTTAATTGAAAATTTCAAATATGCTCTTCAGGCCGGGTCAGTCTTCGTTATCGTTTAAATCGTGGTTGGAACTATCGACCACGTCCCTTCCGGTTCCTCGATGAGGTCATCCAGTTAGCTATCCGCAGTTCTGCCATCCGCTGATTGTTTCGTGAATTTTTTTCTTTTTTTTTTCTTTTTTACATTATTAGCTTTTTGAAAAGGTCAAGGATACCTGGATACTGAGCGAGGTGCAATGGCTAACCTGAAGAGTTTCATCGACCTTCGACCTTCGACCTTCAAGTCTTGATGTTGGCTCTTGTTAACAGGTGGTTTGGTAACCGTGTTTCCTTCAACTATCTCGCATGAAAAGAATCCCTCTTCGTTTGTACAAGCAGAGAGAGAGAGAGAGAGAGAGAGAGAGAGATGACGATACTGAAGATGCTGCTCAAGGATGAGCTGCCAAAGGCTGAGAATGGCTAAAGCAAAGATTACATGGAATTCAAAGAGGAAATGCAGTGCAGTGTAGTAAATTAAAGTACAGTACGGTGCAATGCGCGACTGCATGTAACTTATTTTTTTTTTTCTTATCTTCTCTTTGATACAGACTTTTATCTCTCTCTCTCTTTTTTCTCCACACACGTTACGTCCTTTATTTTCAACTGTCGGACCCTGCCTTCGGTTAACCACGAACACCTAAGACGTTTGACCACTTTCCTCATTCGCACTCCAGTGCCTTCCTCGTATTGTCATCCAGGCCACCACGGCGATTCCGATCGATGTCCAATAATCCAGGCCACTATTCAGTTTATTGGCCCTGTCCCTCGTCACGTCGTTTGCGGTGCCATTTTCCTCCTATTTTTCCGTAACGACCGGGCCTCGAATTTTTCACACTTTTCCTCCCTCACACGTACGTGCAATTCGGACCTCTTTTACTCCTTCCATTTTTCCTTTACCTTTTCCAACTCTTTCAATCCCTTTCATCTTCACTGCCTACCTCCTCGATTCTCGATCGTTCAACCCTCGCTGGCGTTCCAGACCCTTTAACCCATTATGTAATTCCACCCCACAATGCACGATGGCCGACTATTTTTCAGCAATAAAGACCCAATGGCGCTCCCACTCACCCTTGCTCTGGAGCGTCATATCGAAAAATGCCACTTTTCGGGGTAGCGTCGATAAAAATTTTATACCATCATTACACACACACTCTCTCTCTCTCTTTCTCTCTCTCTTCATTTCATCCTCTATCCATGTCTCTCTGACCCTTATACGGAAATGTCTTCCGTTTCACTGCGCAAATGCAGCATGCACTTCCTCTCGTTATCTCACGTAGAAGTGTCAGCTGCAAGTACATCCTTCGTCTGCGCGTCTCTCTTAAAAGTTAATTCATGTTTACGTAATTTTACGATATGCTTGCTCTTTCAAGGGAAAGTAGTGGCGAGATCCTTTATCT